AGAAATTACTTTACTTTATTTTTTCTAATGAAGAACAAAGAGGGAAATGAGAGGATATAGTGTCCTTTTATTTCCTCTTCCTCTTCAGTTTTCTCCTAAAAAGTTATATATAATAAATTGTCATTTTTAATTTTTTGTTTAATTTTGATTGTTTAAATTTTGAAAGCAAAAATTAAAAAATTAAAAACCACAACTATATTAAATGGAATCTAAGACTTTGTGTAGTATAGCTGTTATTTTAAGTGTTTGATTTAATTTCTCAAATTTAAACAATCAAAATTAACAATTAAAAAATAAAATTAAAAATTAAAATACTAATTTATTAAGTATAAAATTTTAAAACAAGAATTAAAAAACTCCAAACTTAATTAACTTATAAAACTACTTAATTTTATTCTTAAATTTCTAAATTTTTTAATGGACTAAAAACTCAAAATCATAACCATAATAAACAAAGCCTAATTATATGAAAATGACGAATTTGGTTAGTTTTAATCAAGAATTATTGGTTATATTGAAAATTATAACTTGTTTGAGACAACTGTCACTATTTTACGTCAAGGATTTTTATTATTAAGGGATGACATGGTTCGAACGCGACATAAAATTTTATGAGAGAAATTTAAATAAAATGTGACAAATAAGTTTTAACTTAAAAATTATGCCCACAAGACCCTGTCTTAAAAAATAAAAGTTAAATATCTATTTTGAAATGAATATAATTTTAAAACAAATAATAATAATAATAATTAGTATTTTGATATGTAATGAGTAGGGATTAAATTTTAAATTGTTGTTATAAGTACATAAAATTTTATTATCAAATCACATAATTGATGGTTAAAACAAGTTAAATATGAAGTACTCTCATTACTAGATTGTTATTTAGCAACATTTAATTACATTTCCATTTATTAAGATTAGATTAATGGGTTAGGTACTTAGAATGCTCCAACAAGCAAAAGATAAAAGATAAAGGTAAAAGAATTAAGAAAATTATCTTTCAAAGGATAAAAGGTGAAGGTAAAAGAATTAAGAAAATTATCTTGGATCCTTTATTGGTATGTCTAGAGAACAAGGACAGATGACAATAACTAGGCAAAGCAAAGTTTATTTATGTGGAAAATAAAAAAGGCTATCTTCTGGTGGAGCAAAACCTAAGAGATACTAATTTCACAACATTTTGAATGGGATATTGAAGAAAGATAGAGATAAGATTTGACAAGGTTTTCATGAAAAATTATAATGGTTTGGTAGGCCAACAAATAGGGGTCTTATGGAGGAAGAGATAGATTAGAGTAGGGTGACACCCCACTATGTAACACTTGTCCTTTTTTGGTTTAATTGGTTATATAATAAATGGGTTTTATATTTAGTACGGGTTTAGGCTATTTAGGGGATCACCTAATATCATGGTTTGGCCTTGTGATGTGATGGCATTCTTAATACAAATTTCAATTTCTTACCGTATAAAAAAGGGGGAGGTTGCACCTGATCCTTCGAGTTAATGGGTAGTTTGTCAGTTTGAGGTGCATTTTGTTTTTTTTTTATGGACGAGTTCGAAACCCATTCCTTGACAATTTGTTAAAAAAAAAAAAAAAAGAAGAGATTTCTTTTATTCCTAAATAACATAATGCCTATAATTGTGATCGTCTTTTTAAACTTTATTTGGATGGTTGGGTAAAGTGAAGTAGTAGTTTGGAATTGGAATGGCTTTGGTCCTTTTGGGTCAAGGTAGCTTGTTTAAAAGATAATACTAATTCACACTAAAGTAGGTTTGGATCCAACCTTCCCTTTGCCAAGAAACTAAACTTTGCTCAATGCTTGTTTTTGTTTCATTGAAAGCTCATTTTAGTTTGTTTATTAAGGTGCTAATTTGAGCTCAGCCTGTCAAAAGTCATTATCTATGATTAAACTTAGGGTTTGTATCATATATATATATATATATATATATTCATATTTTGTTTGGTTTGAAAGTGATTTAACCCATTTAAGTGCCACAATATTGACTTGGAACCAATGCTATAAAATCAAGAACGTCATATATAAAAATCCATGTAATGACTATGCAAAGGGTAAAAAAGAAAGAAAACAAGTTATGAGACTTTTTAAACCTTGAGTATAAGATCTAATTAGTACAAAAAAGATTATAAGACTTGAGATGGTGATATTTGAACTTTCAAGTTGCTAAAACACTCATAGCAAATTATGAAGGTAGGACTCCTAAATCTTAAACCCTTTCAAGAAAAAGAAAGAAAAATATTAAAGCTTTCAACTTTACTTAAAGTATTAAAAAAAAAAGAAAAAAAAAAGAAGGCAAATCCATCGCAAGTTTTAAAGCATTTGATACTCCAAAAGCTAATTACAAACCCATGTTCCCAACAAAAAATTGGCTTTTAAAAGAGAGAGAAATCATGAGTTTTAAAGGTATTCAATAATTTCAATAGACATCATCAAAAGTTTCACTAAAGTTTTCATCAATTTTCTTGCCACAATAAAGTTCTAACAATTCCTAATAGGTATAATTAATTAAATGACAAATCTCTAATCCATGGACCATGATTTTTGGTTTCACTACTTGTTAGGTTTTGGCTTTTACCATAATTTTTTTAAAGCAACCAATAAAGATTAAAGAAAAAGATTCAAAGACTATTTGACAATGAAAAGATAATTAAGCATGGTTTGGCCCCATTTATGTTTGGAAAAATGGGTAAAAGCAAGAGGCTAATTTTTGAGGCTTTTGAGTGTTGGATTGCTTGCACTTGAATATAGGGATTTTGTTGGGAACAGCCCTACAGCTTTCAAAAGTGAAGAGGAAAGGAAAATGGATTCACATTAATCAACAAATATGCCTTGCTTTGGGCAAGACAAGATCATTTCCTTCCATCAAAGTGAAACTTAAGTTATTTATATTGTACACTACATTTTGATTAATTACCATTAGCATTAAATTAAGTAATACCATTTTCACATCATAAAAAAAAAAAAAAAGAAAGAAAGAAAGAAAGAAAGTGATACCATTTCACTAGCAATTTCAAATTAAAATTGATCAATAGAAATTTACTTCATTTACACCCTAAGAGTATGTTTGATTTAAGAGAAAAGAAATGGTGAAAATGAGTGCTTTATTTTATTTTTTCAAATGAGAGAGGGGAGGTGAGAGGAAATAGAATATGTCATATCCTTCCATTTCTCTCAAACTAAACATATTGTAAAGGTATATTTAGCCTGATAATAATGACAATTCTATAGTTAAATTATAAAAATAAATTACAATTAAAAAATTTATAAAAACAAAGAATAATTTAAGTTTTAATGTCTATTTTTTTAATATTTAGTAAATAATTAAAAAAATGCATTCCTTTAAAAGTGAAAGGAATACATGTTCCTTCTTTATTCTTTAACTTAGTAAAAAATTATTAATTACAATTTAGTTATTTTTAATTTTTTTTTAAAAA